TTAAAAGGCAAGAGGGTAATTTAGGGATAACAAAAATTAAAATAAAAAAGTGCTTACACTCCCTAATACCAAGATTCATACTTTTTATATAATAATGATAATGATAATATTGGTCCTATCCAACAAGGCTCTAAATTTAAAAAAATAGATATTAATAGAAGGTTATAGGACCTCCCTGATCCTTCTATTCGTTGCTTCAAAATTGATCTCTCTGAACATTAAATCCATTAGAAAGAAATGCTGATATCAATCAACTGAACATAAGCTCAAGCATCCTACAGATCAAATTGATGTTGAGTTTTAACGACCGTCTACAGAATGCAGACCTTATGATTAGGAACTAAGACATACCTGTCAATTTGTTGCTTTGAAAATATAAACTCGTCAACAAAGCTAAATTCCCTATTTCCATTGGAATTGCACCTACAAAATTGCAACTTTTGTGAGTTTGATTTGATTTATAATGAAAAAATATAGTAACAAACAATGATGTGATTTTTGGACTTTCAAATGCATTAATTAGAAACGATTGTGTTCCTTTTACCCTATAGCCAACGGTTTAAGCAATTAAGGCCATGTAATTAGAGATTTGGCATACCACTCAATTTGTTGACGGCAAAATCTAAAATGGTCAGCATGGTTAGATTCCCTATTTCATTTGGAGTTGCACCTGCAAAATTGCAACTTTTGTGAGCTTGATTTGAGTCGTAATGAAAGCACATAATAGCAACATTAATGAGACTATCGAACTCTCCAAATGCAATAATTGGAAATGATAATAGAGTGTCTATTACATTAACAAACAAAGAATATAGAACTAATTACATTTACCTTCCTTTTTTCTAAAGCCTTTTTTTAAAATATTTTTAATATAAGTGGGAGGGATCAAATCCACTCCCTCTTACTTACACTCCCTCCCCGGGACCATCCAATCCATCTATCTCCCTTACTTTCACCTTCTTTGAGGTTTAACCAAATTATAGATCACACCTTCAATTTTGGCAACATTATGGCCACCCTTGTCAGTGATTAAACAAGGAAAATTAAACAGAGCTTTTTTCCTATTAAATTCCTAAAAACAAGCGCTCCACGAAAACAAGAAGCAACTTCCATGTCATCCCAAACTATTGAGAGATTATTAAAATTCAACAAGGATTTACATAAAAGAAAAAAGAAAAAGAAGATGAAGATATTAAATTCCAAACTATTCAGGAAATGGTTGCATACCTAATTTGTATATAGAAAAAAGAAAAAACCAAACCCATAATTATTTAGCAAACAAATGACCACGGGATTGTGACAGATATAGTTGTTATATTTCTTCCATAATTTGTGTATGCTTTGTATTGAAACATTAAATTGATGTACATAAATAAAATTTTTAAGTACAATAAAATTATATAAACGCACAACATCTTATGCAAAAAAATATATATATATATATATAACAACTAGACAAGTATATGAAAATCCAGTATTATGTCGTGAACGCAAGCGGCAATTGTTGTTTCCTATTGTTTTACTTGTATTTTGAGTCATTTAAATATCGCTATTTTCAAATTACATTGCAGGCCAACATTAAAGTAATTGTGAATTCTTCTGCGTCTAGTATCTCTTCAAAAGATTTTCATCCAGTTTCTTTGCATATGAGCATCGTTTTAGCGTAAACCAAACCGTAAGGATGCAAATTTATTTGTTCTCATCTCCATTTAGCTGTCAGTTAGGGTGGAGTTGAACCAAGTAGCTCGGCTCGAGCTCGCGAGCTACTTGGTCAGCAACTTGAGCTTGAGCTCGGTTGACCAAGCTCGATCTCGTGCTCGAACCGCTCATTAGAGCTATCGAGTCGAGTTCGAACTTGGAAATATGATACTTGAAAGCTCGACGAGCTCTATCGAGTTTTTTATAATATATATTTTTATTTTTATTATTGTGAAAATGTCAATAATATCCTTTATTTAAAATTATATATAAAATATTAATTTTGATTACTTGAGCTTGATTAGGCTTGATTGAATTCGAATAAGCTCGATTGAACTTGATTTGAATTGATTTCATTTAATTAAGCTCGAGCTCGAGTTTCATAAATTGATGTCGAGCTCGAGCTCAAATTTTAAAAGCTTGACGAGCTCGAGCTCAAGATTGAGATCGAGTTTAGTTATTTTGCCTCTAGTCGAGCTCGAGTAGTGCACACTCGACTTGACAGCAGCCCGTCTGTCATACACATCTATCCTCAGCGTGGACAAACATCACCTATCACCCATTTAGGCCTGTCAACGGGCCGGGTTCGGGCTGAAATTCATTATTTCGGATCCGGACCCGGCATATCAAATCGGACCCAGATCCGACCCGTTTATCCGACGGATTTTCTACTCTATGTTCCGGATCCAGATCCGACGGGTCTCGAATCCGGGTCGGACCTACCCAAAAAAATTATCAAAACTTACAATTTCTAATAAAAATGAGAAAAAATATATTTGTAAACTAATTTCTAACTAATACAAAAAAAAACAAATAAGAAAAGAAATCAAATTGATTTTACTCAAATACATCACCCCTAATCTAATTATATTGATAAATATATATATTTTAAATTATTAATCCATTTATATCCGGATCCGGATCTAATACGGGGTGAAATACTATATTCCGTATCTGACCTGTTTTTTGTTTGACAAAATGGATTCGGATCCGAGTCCGGATAACGGAATTAAATCCCTACCCGTACCCGCAAAAATTTCACGGATCCGATCCGACTCCGGGTTTAGACCCGGACCGTTGACAGGCCTACCCCATTCAGACCCCATAGAAGAATGGGAGAGGGGCAGGGACGGTTAAGCTAATGGACAAGATTTGATCACCAAAATTTGTAAGGTCCAGATTTTAACATGTGTGAGACCCACAAAATATTGCACTAGTATTACTCACTGTTGTTCTAGTGTTACATCGTGTACAAATGATGTTACACCATATACAAAATGCACACAAGCTTTCGGAACGGTTGCACTGACAACCGTTCCAGCCCCGAGTCCCAGAAGAACAGAACAGAAGGGGCGCACCTTAGAGGGGCATCTTGGTCATTTACTGTTCGAAGGGGAGTGTATCATAACATAATTAGTCCTCATTTCTCTCTCTTCTTGATGAGTCGACTCCTTTCTTCTTCTTCCCCTCCTTCTCTTGCTCTGCCTAATTCTATTCTTAATTCCTTATCTGAAATAACTAAATTGATCTCTAAAGACTTGAAGGCTTGACACTGCATTTGACCCTGGTCGAACAGCCATCACTCCTGGCCCCTACTGCAGCATCTTGCTTTTCATCTTAGTTGTTGTAAGCCTCCAATCCAATGGATTCCTACTCTCGCACAACTACTTGGTTCAATCTACCTCCTTCAACCTTAGGTCGGCCTTTTGTCGGAAAGTAAACCCCCAAATCCTTCAACTATTACTCCTTCTATCTGATTCCTAAATAGTCTACCATTACCATAACTTGCCAAATAACAACAATTACCCTGCTTGTTCTTCAACTACGCCACCAAGTTGCTCCTACCTCTGCTCACCTTCCTATGGATCTGTATGCGATAGTTTACTGGGGTGTGTGTTTGTGTGTGTTTATATATTTGTGTGGTAATGTCCATAGAATGGTGTTTTTATGTGAAAGTTACATGAAGATGGTGATAAAGAATGGGTCAAATGATGAGAAAATTGTAAGGGGAAGATGACGATGGTGAATTTTTTTTTTTTTTATTTTATGTTTTGAGAATTTCAGGTTGGCAAGGGTATTTTATGGCCTAAATTTCAATTATCAAATTTAACTTCGATTATCTTTTGCTCATGAACTTCTCAGACTAAAGATTTTACTTCAATGGTGAAAAGATGGACATGGGAGAAAGGATATGTTGGTAACAGAAAACTTGGTTGAATAGAGAGAAAAGAAAGGTTGGGCTTCAGGGTATCATCGGACTTCTATTAAAAAATAATAATGCTAACGTTAATAGAGTCATAATATAACGGTTAATCTTAAGAGTTTGTTAGGCCTCAGACGGTAAAGGCGTTTAGATTATAAATCTGTTTGGATGTGGGACATTTTGGTAATACTGACAAATTTTAGGGTCTATCTTATAATTGGATCAAACTTTGGAGAGGTGAATTGTAATTAACAAAAGAATATATGCATAGTCATACATAAAAGTGAATGTCTATGTGGGTGTATGTATGTGTATCCCAAAATCCAATTACATGATTAAATATTTAAGGTTGCATTTTTTATTTGCATGAAGTCTTAGAGCATGATCCACAAGGGAGAAAGGAATGGTTTGAGTATGGAGAAAGGAGAGTATAAATGAGAAGTTTCGAATTTAAAATCTCTCACTTACACTAAAACAAAAAAAGTTTCATAAAAATTGATCCACAAGGAATTGTCCAGGAAAACCACAAAAATAAAATGATGGTATAGTTTTTTTTTTTTGTAGTAAAATATGCTAGACTCACCAAACTTTTCAAAAGTCTCATTTGATCCATTGACCTATTTTTTATACCAAATTATTTACTAAATCTTTTAAAAGTCTCATCTTATCCAATTAGCTATTTTTTGTACTAAATAGCACACTAAATTTTTAAAGCGGTTCATTTTTTTAACTATTTGTTAAATTTTGTTATTAAGGCAGTTGCAAGTTTGCTATTTAGTACAAAAAAAATAGTTTAGTGACTAAAATGAGACTTTCGAAAAGTTTAAAGGATTATTTGGTAAGAAAAATAGTTTAGTAGATAAAATGAAACTTTTAAAAAGAATGGTGATATCTGACGTACTATTCTTTGAAACGTCCATACAAAAGAACAGGGGCATGAGCTTAATATACAATTATAAACCATATACAAGAAGAAGTATAAGCTTAATATATAGTATTTATAAAATAGGAATAAAATTATTACCTGTTAAATTGTTACTCCCCAGGTATAGTCCCTCCAGCATTGTCAAGTTCCAAATTGCCTTAGGTATGGATCCACTTAAATGGTTCGAAGCCAAGGAAAAGTGCTGAAGCAGTGACACTGAGATAATGTTGAAGGTATTTGACCAGTCAAATTATTACCTCCTAGACCAAGCCAGGTAAGTTTCTGAAGGCCGTGACAGATGTTGTCTGGAAGAATGCCAGATAACCTGTTGCTCATAAGAGAGATGGCTTGCAACGAGGAAATATTGGAGATGTGGAGAGGAAACGGACCCGAAAGCTGATTATGCTCAATAATCAAATTCTCCAAATTATTAAGATTCTGAAATTCTATTGGAACGCTCCCTTCAAGGGAATTGTGTGACAGCCATAGCGTCTCCAAGTTTGACATGTTAGAGATGGAAGGCGGGATAGAACCCGTGAAGCTGTTGTTTCTGAGAGAAAGGTATTGGAGTTTGTGTAAATAACCAAACCAGGAGGGAAGCTCTCCACCGAGATTGTTGATTCCAAAATCAAGGTGTCTTAATCGGCGCAAGTGAGCAAGCTCACGAGGCAGTTCTCCATGGAAATTGTTTCTCTTAATGTCAAGGGAAACAAGAAAGGACAGATTCCCAAGTTGAGGAGGTACAGTACCAGTAAGGTTCATGTCTGAAATATTCAGGGCAGTCACTCGGAGGTGTCGAGAGCCACAGGTGATCCCCATCCAATCACAGACGAAGGAGGTGACGGACCAGTTTTTTGCCAAGATTTTCTGAGATTCTGAGGTGATCATGCGATCTTTAAAGGCAAGAAGAGCTGATTGATCAGCTGTAATGTTACTGTTGCTGGCTGCCATGACGGCTAAGCACGCTAAACTAAAGATAAGGCAGAAAGAGTAGTAGATTTTGTTCATGGTTATGCTCATGGTTCAATTTCAGATTTCTGAGCTCACCAGGGCAACTCGGTAAGAGTTGGTGTCAAGTTTCACCTTTATATATATATATATATATATATATATATATATATATATATATATGGACGGCTCTATAGTCTAGTATCAAAATCGTACCAGTGGTGTGGGAATTAATAAAATATAGAAGAGTAAGACTTGTCAACTAGTACAGCCAAAAATTGACCAATAGGCCACCGGGTTAAACGGTAAAAGAAGAGTACTAGCTGTTCAATAAAATAAAGTGCATCTCGGGAATATCAAGTCGGGGATATCAAGAGCACTTGAGCTGTAATTGAGCGGTTCTTTTTGACAAACTCCAGAGACTTCAGCAGATGAAATATACCAATAACACTCCGTGTGGGCATTATCAAGAATGAACAAAACAATACAGATCACAGTTCCAAGTGAATTTTTTGGTACAATAGAAATCTTGATATGGGTAAATGTTTTATATTTTTTGCAAAAAAATTCACTATACTTTACTTTGTTCGTTAACTATGATACTTCAAATTAAAGCATCAAATACAAAGTAACCGTAATATATTGTATTTTTGCCAGATTCTTTTTTGTTCATTTTTTGATTACATATATTAACATTATATTTACAAAAAAAATATAGATCTAATGAGTTGAATCAACTCAATTTTCTCAACTTCCAGTACAATTAGGAGTGGCAATCGGGTCCAAATCGGGGTGACGGGTCGGGTTGAGACCTGAGTGTAACAGAAAACCCGTTGACCTGAACCTGACTCATCAAACCGAAACAAGTCAAGATATTTGACACAAACTCGAAAATTTCTGATTGGCGGGACGATCCGAAATGATCTGAAACTTAATTTTAATTTATTAATTTATGATTGTAATTTCTAATAAAACCAATTTCGTACAAAACTAATTACATAATCAAGTAATAAAAATTTAAATAAACAATCCTAAACCAAATCTAAAATAAATCAAACATCGTAAAGGTGTTTTATCCCAAACCAAATATAAAATAAATTAAAACAGTATAAAAGTAAAAAATAATATAATACATTATTTGTCCAAATATAATAACTTTAATTTCACTCAAGTTAAATAAATTCATTTAGGATTAAGTGATAATACCTTTGGAAAAAAGTTAACTTAGTTTAGTTAGATAAAATAATCTTTATGTTTATTAAATTATTATTAATTCACAAACGGGTTATCGAGTCATATCAGATTGCAAGGCTCCATTTTTTTATTCATTTTTTGATAATGTATTAATATTGAATATACAAAAAAATATATAGATTTAATAACAAGGCTCCATAACATATAGGATTGCAAAATGAGCTGAATTGGCTCAATTTTCGCAATTTCCAAAGCTCGAGTTCAACATTAATCTCGAGCTTGAGCTTGAGAAAAATAATAATGAGTGATCATTATTTTATTTGTTTAAGAAAAGATATTTATAACATAAATGAATAGTCATTTATAACAAGTAATAGAAGTGAATAACTTCAAATTATCATATGATCAAATGGAGCAAACGAACTCTACATGAAATGGGAGACGAATAATCTTGTTGTCTAGCATTTGGTAGGCAGTGTCATGTTAGATGTTTGGTTTAACCAAAAAAAATAATAGGGGTAAATTAGTCCAAAAAATTAAGTGTAATTGTCATGCCCAAATTAGTCCAATACATAAATTTTTGTGCAAATTGAGGCGGTTATTTTTCCCAAAAATGTTATTTATTTCTTTAATATGGGTAAATGCGTAAATAGCAGTTGTTTGTTAACTGTATGACCATATCGGTCAAAAATCATGGTGTATGATTAATTTAAACAAATTAGTCCAAAACTTAATTTTTTATTAGTTATGGTAAATAAAGCCAAAATTCTGCAATTTTATTAATATCTAGTTAACATAGTGTATACAATTGTTTGAATATATTATTATATAGAAGGTGTTGCATTAATGTTTGTAGATTGTAACAAAAGTAATATAAGATGGCACAAAGAGTCATTTATAAAAAGAAGAATAAAATAGTCATTTATACCATCAATTTGTTAAAATATATTCATCCAATGGAGCAAATGAACTCTGCATGAAATGAGAGGTGGTTACTCATCTATGGATCAGTAATCTTGTTATTCAGCGTTTGGTTGGTTTTGCGTTAGATGTTTAGTTTAACAAATAAACATCAATATTTATTCTATCAATAATAGCATGAGATGGAATTACTTACTTGAGGATTGCAAAATTGCTTTTTGGTACAATGAAAATATTGACAACGATCTTGAGCTCTATCAACCTTCATTTTAAAACTTGAGTTCAACATTAATCTATTGAGCCTAGTTGAGCTCGAGAAAAATAATAGCAAGTGATCATTATTTTATTTGTTTAAAAAAAAAGTTATTTACCTCTATTATTTTAATATGGGTGAATATTCATTTATAACATAAATGAATAGTCATTTATAACAAGTAGTAGAAGTAAATAACTTCAAATTATCATATGATCCAATGGAGCAAATGAACTCTCCGTGAAATGAGAGATGATTACTCATCTTTGGATGAGTAATCCTATTGTCCAGCGTTTGGTTGCCAGTGTCAAGTTAGATGTTTGATTTAACAAAAAAAAAACTAGGAGTAAATAAGTCTAAAAAATTAATTTAAATTGTCACACCCAAATTACTCCAATACATAAATTTTGTACAAATTGGGATGGGTTTTTTGCCCAAAAATGTTAATTATTTCTTTAATATGGGTAAATGCATAAACAGTTGCGGTTTGCTAATTGTATGCCCATATCGGTCTAATATCATGGTGTATGATTAATTTTGACAAATGAGTCTAAAAATTAATTATTTATTAGCTATCATAAATAAATCCAAAATGTTGCAATTTTATTAATATGCAACAAACATAGTTAACTACATATTAATGATACGATCTTGTATTAATGTTTGTAGATTGTAATTAAAGTAATATAAGACCATATCGGATTGATGAAATGGACGGAATCCAAACGTGTACAATTCATTAGGGGAAAAAATTGGCGCAAATGCATGAGATGGAATTCTATTTCAAGCAAGGAAAGTTTTCATAGTTGCCGCACTTTGACTTCTCGCCAACATGCCGATGTGTGGTGGGAACCGTGAATTTGAGGGACAGTAGTTAGTCTCCTATAGGTGGGAACCAATAGTCAAATAGTGACCCAAAACTTAGTGAAAATAATTAAACAAATAATTAGTTGCGTAAAATTGACTATTTTGTACTTCATAAAAATTAATCAAACAAAGAGATGCATATCCCACCGCATAATGCAAGACCCACATATAACATTTTCCTCTAACATTAGTGATTTATATAATTATTTGAAAAACATAAACGTGGTCTTTATCAAAATTTAATAAATATTACTTACCTTCTTTTCAATTTTGGGAGGGTTGCTTTGTTGATTTTCCACCTACTTTTCTTCCATATACATTGTGATGGATCCTTGCCATTCTTCAATAATTTATAGTATAGGTTCAAAGTAATGCCATTTATTATCCCCAACAACCATTTTAATTCATTAAATTTTTAATAACTCATTTCCAAAGTGAAAGCATTGAATGCAACTTGGACAGTAAACTTGGAACTAATCCTTGAACAATCTAGTTGTGGTACAACTAAATTGAATTTTGTCTGATACAAATTCGTTGGGAAGACCATAAATTCTTAGGATGTGTGGACGGTAGAATACAAGAATATGCTCTTTTGTTTCTTTAAGCCAGGCCCCACTTCTCTCATTTTTTAATACACAGGTTCCGGTTATGCATCTACAAGACTACAACAACCGGTCATGACCCAAGGCAGAAATAGGATACTTTATATCAACACTTATTTTCATCCATCATTGCAATTATCATTTGTTGAGATGTCACTTCCACATTGGATAATGATAAATACTACACGTCTAGTATTTCTCTCAATACTAGATTGCAGATGGATCCATATCTATACACATATATAAGAAGCAGTTGGATTTTCCTCTTTGCCGCAGTTTTCGCCTTGCAATTTCATCTGCTTTGTTTGTGAGGAAAATTTGAGAAAAAAATGGGGATCAGTTTCATTTGCTTCGTTGAGTTTCATCCGCTTTCTTTTATCGGATTATAGTCAGATGGTTGCAGTGTGTGCAATCCAAGGTTCATTAGCTTTGTTGGTGAGGCAAAATTTAAAATAGAGGCATCTGTCTGTTGCCATGCAGAGAGAAAGATTTCAAATGGAGGCATCTGTCTGTTGCCATGCAGAGGGAAAAATTTTAAATGGAGGCATCTGTCTGTTGCCATGCAGAGGAAAACGCCGTTTGTTTCTTTGTTCCAGAAAGCTCATTATCTCCCATCTCTCATATCTGTTGCAGTGTGTGCAATCCAAGGTTCATTAGCTTTGTTGGTGAGGCAAAATTTAAAATAGAGCCATCTGTCTGTTGCCATGCAGAGAGAAAGATTTCAAATGGAGGCATATGTCTGTTGCCATGCAGAGGGAAAAATTTTAAATGGAGGCATCTGTCTGTTGCCATGTAGAGGAAAACGCCGTTTGTTTCTTTGTTCCAGAAAGTTCATTATCTCCCATCTCTCATATCTCATATAGATATAGATAGATGGTGGTTTTGTGTCATAACCCATTAACATACTGATACTTTGTGTCATAACCCATTAACTTACGGATATCTTTGAAATTGCATTTGTGTCGCTGCATTCTTTTTTTGCCTTCCAACTGGAGTTTTAGTTTTCTGCCGTCTGTCCTTTCTTTGTGTCAAAGAAGGTAATGGCTCTATTTTTGTTCGAGTATATAATGATAGTATTCTTGTTGCACGTTCTATTCATCGTCTTCCATTTTCTTCTTTGCAGCTTTTAAACGATTTCCACCTCTTAAACAGCTTCCTCTTTCTTTCTTTTGTCGACTTCTAGCTTCGTCTGCTAACTTGGTCCTTTCCTGCTTCTTATATCTGCAACTCCATCGGCTGGTTGTTATCCGTCCAAGTTTGCTCGCCAGTTGCAGGTTCGATTTTATATGCATGCTTATTTTCGTCATTCTTCTGTTTACTGAATGAATGTCTTATTAGTTTTGGATTGCTAGATGTTGCATTTTCCTTTATTGCCTGTATGATTCTTGCTGTCCAATACAATGAGCTTCTCCAAATTTGTTGTTGATACGGTTGATTCAATAACTGAAAAAAAGAAACAACGTAATAAAAAATTAAGAGAACAATACGCTGCGCTCTCTCCTAAAGAAAAGGAAATTCGTTTGGCTAAACAAAGAGAGGCATATCAGAAAAGAAAATTAAATAATTTTTTAGCTCTCTCTGCTCCTGAACAACTGAAACGAGCTGAAAAATCGCTTCTTAGGGAGACTTTTCGCCTTCATTGTGACCAAGCAAAAGTTGAAGAAGAACAGAATCGTTTAGTAAAAAAAAAGGAACTCCGTCGACAGAAGCAGAGAGAGGCTTATCATAGAAAAAAGATGTGCTTATCTTTTGGTGCTGATACATCAGAGCATATTAAAGGAACTATGCATCCTGCTCCTGCTACTGAGTTAAGTGCTACTATGACTACCGACTGCCTGTCGACTCAAGAGGCAGAAATTCCTAAAAAAAATATTAGTTCCACTTCTGCTGCAAACAGCATACTATGTGCTGAAGTATCATCTCCAGAAAGTCTCCACAAAATGGAAAGTGCCACTTTCGCTGCAAACAATATTTTATTTGCTGAAGTGCCATCTACTTCTGGATTAGTCATTCAAGAGCCGGTTAAGAGCAATGCAAAAGGTATATTAACATACAAACGTACGTCTAACTCATCCTTCAAATTCTACAATGTTATCTTTTACTTATTCTCATGTCTACATTATTCACTGTTGATTACTATTTTCAGCCACGGATGTACTCGAGTCAAACAACAATGACAAGTCTAAAAAACATATCACTATTTTCTCCAGCTATGAAAGAGGTATTAATTACTTTTATGTTCCATGGTTTAACCTTTTAGCATTTATTATTACATTTGTATTGTGTACTATACGCTTGTGATTTATAATTAGGATCCTCCTCCAATACAAAGTCGAATGATAAGTACAGATGCTCTCGAAACTCTGGTTTGCATTGCTCAGGTTTCTTATTCTTCTCTACTGTTTATATTTTTTTTACGTCATGTACCATTGAATCTATTTACAGCAAATATTAGTCTTCATCTATTTTGTATACACATACATCAGATGAACGCCGACTATGCCCTGGTTGTTACAACTTTCTCTCTCAAAACCTTCAGGAAGTATCAGGTTGCACATATTTGATTATCTCACCAAGTCTGCTTACAAAATACTATAATTTCCGACATGATTTAATCACTTTCTCTCCGCTTATTCTTAATAGAACAATCAACATCGTTATGTGCGAGGCCTACTGTAACTCCACCGGAAAATGGTACCACATCGAATGCAACTACAGAGCATACTGCTAAACAGACTAAGAGTCGAGGTACTATACTCTTCTTTTACTTAAAACTGAGCTTTTGACTCCGAATATTTTCAATCTTCACCTTCCTTAATCACCTATCCAACTACCTAGCGCCTCATTTTTTTTGGATTAATTATTAAGCTATGTTTTGTTCATACAGCTAAACATTCTACAAGGCATTGTCCGGCCAAACACTCAAGGAAAAAATCTAATGCATCAAAAGGTTGTGAATTATTTTTCTTCTTTTCTGATTCCACCAAATAGCAGTACAATTTTCCCCTTTGATATTTTCCAATTACCTGTACCATTGATCAGTATCTTGCTCTATTTCGAACTAGCTAAACATTCAACATAACAATTTGTCATTTTTAATTTATAGGTAATAGAGTCCTACAAGGCATTGACGCGCTTAGTTACATACCTGACAAGTCATATAAGTTACCTCCAAAAGAAGAATGTCAGTATTGTCATGCACAAAAATTTCATTCTGAAACAGCTAACTTCTGCTGCTTTGATGGTTCTGTTGTTCTCCATGACAACAAATTACCGAGTGTTCTTGTTGAGCTCTTCACTGCTGAGACACAAGAGGCAATTTGTTTTCGTACATATGTTAGAACATATAACAATATGTTTGCTTTCACCTCCTTTGGTGTTCACTACGACAAAACACTCTGCAAAAGAAACAATGGAATCTACACTTTCAAGATTCAAGGACAGACTTACCATTTCATTAATCAACTGATTCCTCATCATGGTTCAGGAATGTATCTCCAACTCTACTTCCACGACACAGAGCATGAGCTACATAATAGAATGGCTGTATCAGATAGATTAACTGAAAGTCTTGTGATCAAACTCATGGAAGTTATGAAGACCAATCCTTATGCTTGCTTTTTCCGTAGTTTACGCAACATACCTCAGCTGGATTCTTACCAAATAGTCTTAAAGTCTCACACTGATAATGATCAACGTGTATTCAACCAACCAACAGCTTCTCAAATTGCAGCTCTTTGGGTTGAAGGAGAAAATTCAACTAACGTCTACTCCAGACATATACAAATCTATACTAAAGAGGGTCATACTCATCGAATTCAATAATATTATGGATGCTATGATCCTCTCCAGTACCTGCTGTTGTTCCCACTTGGAGAAACTGGTTGGCATCCAGGAATTAAAAGATCAGAAAAAATCAATCCAAAAAAAAAACAAAAAGAGCAACAAGAAAACAGCAGACTTCAGCAACATTGTCTAATTTCTCTTCTGCTCAAGAAATGATTGACAAGGAAGAGCAAGGTCAGACCATTTATATGCATTTCTTATATATACAAAGCTGTATATTTACACCACTTTTGTTATCTCTTATCTCTCTTATATATAAAAAAAAATACATATTTACGTCAATTTTTCTTAATGCTTATTTTATCTGTAGCTATTCAGGAGTGCAACAACTCAAAGGAATATATATCAATGAGAGAATACTATGCTTACAAAATGCAAATTAGACACCACTGTACGCCTAGCATTCTCAATACTGGACGACTATTTCAACAATTTGTAGTCGAGATGTATGTGAAGATTGAAACCCAGAGATTGGATTTTTACAGAAGCAGGCAACAATTAATACGAAGAGAACAATTATAGGGACTGATGGACAGTATTATTCAAGGACAATCTCGCGGAGCACAGGTTGGCCAAAAAGTTATCCTTCCAGCTTCGTTTATTGGGGGTCCAAGAGATATGAAAAGACGATATGTGGATGCAATGGCTATTGTACAAAAATTTGGCCGACCAGATATATTTATTACAATGACTTGTAACCCTGCCTGGTCAGAAATAAAAGAAACAATGTTACGTACAGATGAAGCTCATAACCGACCAGATCTTCTATCAAGAGTATTCCATGCAAAGGTGAACATTTTAAAGGAAGATTTATTCAAAAAACATATATTTGGAGAGGTCGCAGCATATACTTATGTTGTGGAATTCCAGAAACGCGGACTGCCGCACATTCATATGCTTATTATCCTGCAACCGAGATCAAAATTATATTTCACAGATTCGTATGATCGAATTGTGGCAGCTGAAATACCAGATGAACACGAAAATAAACATCTGTTCAATATGGTTCGAAAACACATGATGCACGGTCCATGTGGAACAAAAAACCCAAAGAATGTCTGTATGCAAGGCTCATTTATGAGAAGATGCAGAAATAGTTATCCAAAGAAATGGGCCAGCAGAACAACTCATGGAAACAACACTTATCCAACTTATAGAAGAAGAAACGATGGCAAGAAAATTATTGTTCGTGGACAAGAGCTGGACAACAGGTGGGTAGTCCCCTACAACCCTTATTTACTTGCAAAATTTAATTGCCACATTAATGTTGAAATATGCTCTACTGTTAAAGCTGTTAAATACATCTATAAATATATCTACAAAGGACATGATAAGATACATTTCCAAGTTAACAATGATAGTGAACCAACAGCTAATAACCAACAAACTCAGATTGATGAAATCACAGAATACCAATCTGCTAGATGGGTATGTCCAGTTGAAGCTATATGGCGTATTTATAGATTCTCATTATCTGAAATGTATCCTGCAGTTATTCATCTTCAGCTACACCTTGAGAACTTTCAATGCATGACTTTTAATGAAAATGAAGACTTACGAGATCTTCTGCAAAATTCTTTCAGGAAAAGAATGATGCTAACGGAATTTTTTCACATGAATGCTACCGATCCATTAGCTAAACATCTCAAATGTACATACAAAGAATTTCCAGAGTACTTTGTATGGTATCCTGGAAAAAAGTATTGGGCAGTTAGACAACTAAAAGATAGTATTGGTAGAATAGTTAGCGCCAGTCCAACAGAGGGTGAACGTTACTTTCTTAGACTGTTACTTACTCATGTTAGAGCGCCAATATCTTTTGACGACTTGAAGACAATAAATGGAGTTCATGTTGGTACATATCGACAGTCAGCTATCTTGAGAGGTTATTTTGAATCAAATGATTCACAAGAACAATGTATGGAAGAAGCTGCTTCATATCATATGCCACACAGTCTACGCAGATTATTCGCAACTTTATTGGTTTATTTCCCACCAGCAAGTCCTCTTATTTTATGGAGCAAATTTGAACAGGCAATGTCTGAAGACTACAATAGAATGTATACTTTACCTGCTGAACAGGTTAGACTTAAAGTACTACACCAGATCAGCAACTTTTTAGATTCAATGGGAAAAGACATCAACAGCTTTTGCTTAGTGTCTACAACATTAAGGTTCCGAGATAGATACACAAATACAAGAGATACCTCAAGTGAGCTAAATATTCAGGTATCAGAAACAGATTTATTAGCCGCTACACAGCTCAATACAGAACAAAAAGCTGCTTTTGATCACATAATGGATGCTATATTTATTAAACAAAAAGGATGCTTTTTTATTGATGGACCTGGAGGCACAGGAAAAACATTTCTATACAAAGCTTTGCTAGCTACCATAAGATCAAGAGGTTATGTAGCCCTTGCAACTGCATCATGTGGAGTTGCAGCATCTATCTTACCCGGAGGACGAACAACGCACTCGCGCTTCAAAATCCCTATAGACATGAATCCAACTAATATGTGTAAAGTTAGCAAACAAAGTGCTTCGGCAAATTTACTTTGCCAAGCAAAATTAATTCTTTGGGACGAAGCACCAATGACTCATCGACATGGAATTGAAGGAGTTGACAAACTTCTAAAAGACCTGATGAATTCTACAGAACTATTTGGAGGAAAAGTTATCGTGTTTGGGGGCGATTTCAGACAAGTCTTACCCGTAGTCACAAAAGGAATCAAAACAGATTTCATCGAAGCAAGTATCATTAGTTCCTATATTTGGCCACAACTCACAAAACTACATCTCAGCCAAAATATGAGAGCCATAAGTGATCCAGAGTTTACTGCTTATCTCCTTCGAATTGGAAATGGAACAGAGCCACTGATTGATGATATCAACATTCGCGTGCCAGACAATCTCCTCATTCCCTACACTAACGAAGATGAGTCCATCAACATACTCATAAACTCTGTTTTTCCAGATCTTACAACTTTTAGTAATCAAAATTTTTCTTTGGTAAACAGAGCAATACTTACAACGAAAAACGAATTTGTTGATGAACTAAATAGCATTCTTATAAAAAACTTTCCTGGAGAAGCACATGAATATATAAGCCGCGATAAATCCATTATAGAATCAGAACAGGCAGTCTTAGAAGATTTCCTTAACAGTTTAACTCCAAATGGTTTCCCACCTCATAAAATTATCCTAAAACCAAATACACCAATAATTCTACTAAGAAATATTGATCCTCCGGAAGGTCTTTGCAATGGTACCAGGCTTATATGTAAATCTTTAACACAAAATGTTATACATGCTATTATTAGTTGTGGTGAATTTATTGGTAAAGATGTGTTTCTTCACAGAATTTGTTTTCGAATAGATAATGATGCTGATTGCCCTGTTCCTTTTGAAAGAATTCAATTTCCTATTCGTTTATGCTTCGCAATGACCATTAACAAAGCTCAGGGTCAGACTTTAGATTATGTTGGATTATACTTACGCGAGCCAGTCTTTTCTCATGGACAATTTTATGTAGCACTGTCTAGAGCTAAAAATAGTACATCTATTAAGATACTGATTAGACCTCCCACCTCTAATACTAAATCATACAATGCCACACAAAATATAGTATATAGAGATGTTTTAGACATAGCAAATACCTTATGACCTGTATATTACTTGTCTTGTGTTTCTTTACCAGGAACTAAACATAGCTCCATATAATCGATTTTCAATTGTATAGTAATCTATAACTTCAACTCTTTACATCTTTCGTTTGCAGTTTCTCTGTTAACAGACAAGCATCATTGAAAGAATTCCTGTTTCACTCATGGAAAGGAAAATCAGCAAGGTCAATGAAATTGTGCCTAATACGCAGCACTGGACAGCTATAGTTGAAGTGTTTGACAAACAAAAAGTTCAGATATCAAAGGCTGGAAACAAATACAAAAAATTGGTTCTGGTTGATGACGAGGTACTACTGGCTACTGTTTTATAACAAAATAGAAACAACTCCTGCTAACTGATTTTTTCCATTGCCATGCAAAACATACTTGCTCTCAGGGAAACAAAGTGGATGCTATCATGTGCAAATCTGATATAGAATTCTTCAAAGATCATTTCCAGCTTTACAAAAGATACATGGTATCAAATGCACGAGTGGAGCGAACACAAGTAGAATTTCGAACTCATGAGAATCAATGTAACTGGATAATCGACAACTCCACTGTTGTTGAGGCTATACAAGAAGCAAATCCTCCGCAGCTTCCTCTGACAATCAACTTCATTCCTTTCAAGAAATTCCATCAATATATAGATGATAACACAGAAATAGGTACATCACTTTAACTAAAAAATATGATTCTATATTCAATTTATTATAGCAATCTATAACTCCTTTACAATTAGATGTCCTAGGTGTTGTCAGTGAAGTTCATCTTCGTACCTACAAAGGAACAACACCAAAGAGAGAGATCGTACTCATCGATCAAAGGTAACAATTATATCTATCAAATCTGAAATTATATATCCATTTTGGAACTTTCCTTATTCCTCCCAAATGAATAAATAGTTTCATGCCTGTAATTTTAACACTCTGGGGAGACCATGAAACTGATGAAGGCCAGGCTTTGACAAATATGGTCCAAAATATGCCTTTCATTGCTGCTTTACGACTCAAAGTAACTTCTTATCATAGTAAGTACCTATCTACATTCTAATCAGACTACCATATACAAATTACATTCTATTTATAATCTTATACATTCATTTATCTTTATACGTCATATTTTATTACCGAATAACGCTATATGCGCTACAGCAATGAACCTGTCTACAAAATTTGGATCTAGCATTCTTATAAATCCACCGATCCAGCAAGCTTCTGAAATCAGAACATGGTAAACAATACTCCCATACTATAAAACTCTTCCCAACTATTCACTGCTTATTTACTTTACATTAACAGCTTTTCCTTTAAAAAAAACACACCATGCAGGGCAACAAAAAATGAATACCAAATTCGACATCTAATGGCTGATAAAGCGTACAACGATCGAACAAAATTGCTACCATTACCAGATGCAGAAGAAATGACTACAATAAGAGACTACCTTCAGTTCCCTCTGGTAAATTTCACTTAGAGAACTTCTTCCCATAAACCGCACAAACCAATTCTTCTGTACACAAAAAAATAAACAGCCATATACATGTATGTCACAGCAAAAAGCTTATTGGGTACAAGGAACTCCTAAATTGCTTGACAGAAGTCAAAAATTCTGGTATAATGCTTGCCCCAGATGCTTCAAATCTGTACGTTCTATTCCACAGTGGCCAATTGTCTGTGTATCTTGCAACACGAACGTCCGAGTCACTCCAAGGTATGATACAAAACTCCACTCTAAAAAACATTTGCAAATTGCTATATACTGCAAAAATTTATTCCTCAACACTCTTCGCTTCAAAATAGATGTCGATTAACTGTGCAATTGGAAGATTACACCGGAAACATGACTTTGGATATCTATGGAAATGATGCTTCCCAATTGCTTCCTTTTACAATACAAGAGATTCAACAACAAGAGCAGCAGGTAACCATACATTAACTGAATACATTCTAGCTTGCTATTACTACACAAACACTCATAATAACATGTGACTATGTTTTCCTTGTAGAACGCACTTAATTATGAAGCAATAGAAGAGAATATAAGCAGCAATATAATAATTTGCTTCGTCAAGAAGATTGCTACAAACTATGCCACTGCTTCAAATTATGCTCCACTAACCAACGCCAAATACTCAGCCATTATGGTACACAAACTTCCCAACATGACCAGCACTTCACAGAGCAGCTCCAGCGGCCTTAGTGGAGAAAAAAACACAACAAGAATGCTCATCGACTCTCCACCACACCCAGAAACAACCGAAGTTGCACATACACCAGAATCTTCAACAAATATAGACAGCAATCTCCTGACCGCACTCAAACTGACAGAGAGCCCCATCAAAAAACAACGAACCGACAACTACAACAATTAGGCTTGCAACCCTTTAACATTTTTGAAAGTGCACAGAGCTCTAAGAAGCTTCAGCTGTAAATATATCTAAATATGCCTGCATGATCCTGTAAATTGGATATAGACAATGATCCACATAAGTCTATTCTCTTCAAAAGACCTGAAAAATTATCTATATCACAGACGCAGTCCATCAATCTTTTGCAAAATATGCATTTCACTTAACTCCTCAACAGAATAATATAAAAAAAAAAATCCCATGACGCCCGCGTATCGCGCGGGGACCGCACCTAGTATATATATATAGAGAGAGTAGACAAGCATGGGAGTCAGTAGCTAACACATTCTTAGAAAAATAAAACCAAATCAATGGAAAAATACAACTGTAATGCTGACTTTCCTGCTAAGTTCCAAACATGTACTATCAAACAATAAATGGACGGATGGACCTTCGGGGAGGGCCCTCCATCAAGTCATTTTTAACCTCTTATTGCGTTAGCAGAATGGCACGTCGCTGTTGGGTAGAATAGTCTTTGGAGACGATAGCTTCAAGGCGAGGGTGTCTACCGTGCAAGACAGCTCAGGGACTGTTTCTTGATACTGTTGACAATTTGGATTGAGATTCATTTATTTATTCATATAATTTATAATTAAATAAATTTAAGTTATTTATTTATAGTATTAATTTTAAATGATTGATCAAAATAAAATCATTAAATTAAATAGATTTATATGAATTATTCACAAAAATCACATATATTCATTTATTTAAAAACCAAATAAAAGTAGCGAGACTTATTAGCTAACTGAAATCTCGAATTTGTCGACTAAAGCCGCACATCACAGCTAGCTTGAGTTGGCTTGTCCAAGAAATTAAATAACCCTTGAGAAGTGGTGCAAGTAGGAAATGATGCTTCTATAATCATGGTCAATGAAGCTGAATTATGTGGAGCTTTTCTTGAATTGAGTCTAATTTCTGATGGTTTTTCTGTATTAAATGCATTAAGAAGTATCTTCAAAAAGTACATAAAAAAGTACATAAAAAAATATCAAGAAATGATTATACAAAAAAAAGTAATCAAAATATTTAAATGGATTGTAAATGAATAATTGATTTTTATTTAATCCATTTAGATCCATTTATTAAATGGATCTAAATGGAGTGGATAAATGAATCTAAGTGGATTGGATAAATTTCATCCACCATCCATTAAGTCAAAACCAATAACCATTTATTCATATTGCCCCTCTACTCATGCACATCGCTATTCTAGTTGCTGTTGCCTTGTGCATTGGGAAGAAACAGACAAGCACTTTGTGTCCCATCCCAAGTCGTCCCTGAAGTCTCCTTTCAAGTTTCAAAGTGAATTGTTGGAGTGTTCGTTTTTGTGACAAACATATTCGTGCTAAGCTAGCAAGTAGCTTTGAGCTTCCGGTTTGCCGTTTTCCAAACATTTGGCCAATAAATGACTCAAACAGAATTCATTCCAGTAGGTAATGTCTAAAATATGTCCAAGGTACATTTGATAGGTGATTTACACCAAGAAATTTGGAATAACAAGTCCCAAATCATTGCTAGTTCAAATCTGTCCAGATGTAAGGTATTCCTTCACCAGACCAGATTCGAGTTTTGATCATAAATCACTCAATTCAATTCGGAATTGAGCGTGGTTGGTGGCGTTGGAAAATAAACTCATAAGAATATATTTTCTCAGAAGAAACCATTTTCAAAATCTGTCCATAACCAGCTCATACGTGAGCATCAAATTGCAGTTCATAATCTGCCTCCCAGTGACAAATGAAACAGGACAGCAGTTTTTAAATGAATGGTTTGACTCACTCGAGAGGAACCAGAATGTGTATTTTATACCAAATGAAATCTGGAAATGTCTAGTTTCCAGTGCCGCAAACGGCACCTTATTCCGACATCGGAGCGATGAGTTATAGCCAAAACAAGACGACTGCCTGGGCAGTGACGGGAACAAAATTCCAGTTTTCTACCCTTTTGAAATTTCAACATTTGGGTGACCAAACAAGTTATTTTTCAATAAAACTTTTTACACAACCAATATAACATGTAAACAATATAAATTAAAACCTCAAAAATTTGCACAAAAGTGGTTGAACAAACTAGGGGCAAAATGGTCACTTTTTCCCATTGCACCTCATTTGAGTTTCCATCAATAACCCAACATTAATCCACTAGTTTAAGCACTAAATAAACACTATTACCATCAAAACATCACAAATCAGTTCATATATCCAAGGTGGGAGTTCATAGAGCCCACACAACCAATTTTCCATCACAAACAAGCTACCCCATATGCAAGTAAGAGTTTAAAGGTGCACTACAACTTCCATAAATTAAGTTTCTGAGATTTGATCGTTACCTACTTGCTTTGATGTGTACAACAGAAATTTTTGGTCCTCTCCTTGGCCAAGAAAACCGTGAAAAACTCCCCCTTTTCTTAGCTAGATGTAATCTCCAAGAGTTAAGTTAGGTGGGTCAAATTTTGAAGTGAAACGGAGGAAGTTTGATGGAGGAATTTGAAGAAGAAAGTTGAAGCTTGGAGCTCTCTTTTCTCCTTGTGTTGTTCGGCTGATGAGAGCAGAAAAAGAAGAGCATTTGCTGATAATAAGCTTCCGTGAGAGGCTTTAAGATTTGGCCAAAGTTTGTTTCAAAAGTCAACTAGGAATAGTGCGCGTACGCGCGCGTTTTGTGCTTGATTCCTCTCGAGTTTATTTCATTAATGCACTAAACTTATAATGCACTTATATCCATATAAATATTATTCACTCTTAATTGTTCCAAAATGAGGGTCTAAAGTCTCTCAATTAAATCGCGCATGTGAAAACGCGTATCTCCAAATTAAGCGCGATAAAGCGAAACTTCCAAGAATTCCTTGTAACGATAGCACTAATGACTATCACTTGAGTACTTAAACATAAAATTACCTATTTTGAGACTAATGTACAAGTTTCCAATTTTTTCAAACTTATTGTATCCTCGATTCAATTATTTATTCCAATCGCGTATTCGCTATTTTCATTTAATGAGTTTCCAAAAATTAAATTTTGAAACTAGTCACTTTAAAAATATAACGAAACTATAGACCCATGTAATTAGGTCTAAATAGACTAAAAAATAATATTCGGAGTAAATGGGCAATTAAATATTTAAATAAGTTCGAAATGGAATTTAAAATAATAAATTTTGCGAGTCCTCACATGAGTCGAGTTTTAACTCATCAACTCTCAAATTAACTTTTCTTAATCTACTATTGATCATTCTTACTTCTCCAAAATTAATATACTTTCGATTCAAATATAGTCTCGAAAAACGTGTACTCGTTGTTCCGAACTAAACGAGTTTTCGAAAAGTAAAACTAAACGTTTTAAAAACATAAGAGAGGTGTTTTTCCATATAAATGGATTTTAAGTAGTTGAATTAAATACTTCGGAGAAAATGAGTGAATAACTATTTAAATAAACCAGTAATATATGACGAAAATAAGAAAATTTTCGGATTCTCAAATGGAATTGATATGAAGGTTGAGAGGCTACCATATGATTTAGAAGTGAGAACACCTACGGATAACCAATTTTTACTAGCTAACGAGGTGTATAGAAACTGTGATATTTGAATTGGTGAGCGAAAATTGGTAATTGACCTTATAAGTCTGGCCATTAAGGGGTATGATGTTATTATAGGAATGAATTGGTTAACTCGTTATCATGCTCGAGTAGATTGCCGAACAAAAGTGGTCGAATTTTGTATATCCGGTGAAGCAACCTTAAAAACTAGATGTAAGGGATGTTTTAGCTTTATCTGCCTTTATTTTAGGAATTAGGGCTAAAAAATTGTTAAGTAATGGGGCACGAGATTATCTAGCCTTTTTAGTTAACACTCCAAGAGAAAAGGTTAAACTCGAGAATATGCCGGTGATAAGTGAATATCCAGATGTATTTTCAGAAGAATTGGTATCATTGCCCCCCGAGAGAGAGATCGAGTTTAAAATTAATTTAGTACCGGGAACCACTCCTATCTCAAAAATTTCTTATCGGATGGCGCCCTCTGAGTTTAAGAAATTAAAATTGCAATTACAAGACTTGCTAGAACGAAAATTTATACATGACAATGAGTAACCTTGGGGCACTCCAGTGCTTTTTGTTAAGAAGAAGGACGAAAATTTGAGATTGTGTATTGATTACGAGGGTTGAATGCAGTGACCATTAAGAGTAAATATCATTTGTCCTACATTGACGAGTTATTTGACTAGCTAAAAGGGGTTGTGATGTTTTTAAGTTAGATCTCAGATAAGGATATTATCAATTAAGAATTAGAAAGGAGGACATGCCAAAAACTGCCTTTAATACTCGATATAGGTATTACAAATTTGCAATGATGCCTTTTGGATTAACCAATGCCCAAATAGCATTTATGGATTTAATGCATCGGGTGTTTAAACCCTATTTGGATCGATTTATGGTGGTGTTTATTGATGACATCCTGGTGTATTCTAAGACAAAGGAGGAGCACGAGCAACATTTGAGAATAATATTGCAAACCTTATGAGAGCACCGGTTGCTTACCAAGTTTAGCAAATGCGAGTTTTGACTAGAGAAAGTGTCATTTCTAGACCATATAATCTCAAAAGATGGACTCACTGTAGATCCAGTTAGAATAGAAGCTGTTGCCAAGTGAAAATGGCGGGAGAATCCTATTGAACTTCGTAGTTTCTTAGGTCTAGCGGGATATTACCGTCGGTTTATAAAGAATTTTTCAAGAATTGTGGGACCCCTAATGAATTTGACAAAGAAGTAAGGAAAATATATTTGGAACACTAAGTGTAAAACCAGTTTCCAAGAGCTTATGAAACAATTGACCATAGTACCAGTGTTAGTTTTATCAAATGGGAAGAATAGCTATACGGTATCTACAGATGCTTCGAGAGAAGGATTGGAACGTGTTTTAATGCAAAATAGAAATGTAATTGCCCATACCTCTCAGAAGTTAAAATT